TAACAACAGTCAGTCAGTCAGCTACAACGTAGGAGCAGGCACATATGCATTGGTGCAAGTTGACGACCATTGCTGCTATCTTGACGTGGTGGTCGAGCATGTCTATCGTGATGAACTAATCAAGCTATACTGGCTGAGACAACCATTCCTCAAGGTCCTACCATGTCAGACATGTCGGTTGAAGAGCGGTAAGACTAAAAGCAGCAAACCCAAGGTCCAAAGGTGAAGTCGTACTGCTGACTATACAGAGGTGTGACGGTAGCAAGGTTTTTCCTTCAAAAAAACCGGCATAACAGCGATGCTGCTTTCCCACAAGGAAGGATGGGGTTAGAAAAGGTCGACCGTAAAAATGCATACCTCGCCTTATCTCACGGATACCCGTCTCCGGTGGTAAGGTCTCAAAAAGTATGGAACTAACACGAAAATTTCTCACAAAAAGGTCGTGTTTGACCGACCTCAATTCCCTTTTCAGGTACTTCCAGAAGAACCCTTCCACGTTGTGGGCATTCGGGAAATGATAACTCTAACAGAACTCAAGATCATTTATTTATCAACACTTCCTTAATTATCAACAAAATAAATAAGTATAAGAAATTTATTCATTCATTTGACTAGACTAATTGTAAACACTTAGAACAATGAAAATACAATCCAATCTAATCACATATACATACACACACACACACCCTAGTGTAAGCATAAGATGATACCAACCATTGTGATAATGACTTATATATAAATGAATCAAATGACTATTCCAATGCGTGAGATCATTTCTATGTTTCTAAGATATTTATTGATAGTATTAAACAAATGGTATTAAGGTAATTTTGTATGGTTACACATACAAATTAATAGTGTAATATTCTTTGTGAATACAAATTCTGTTTTATGCTTTTAATGTGAATATTGATGATAGTTTTTTTTTTTTTAAAACAGCTGAAAGCATATGACTGACAAAATAAGGAAAGCTGATCTTATTATTATTACTATCACTATCATTACTATTACCATCACTATTATTATTATTATTAGTAGTAGTAATGGTATTAGTATTAGTATCGTTATTACTGAGTGGAATCAAGAAGAGAAAACTTAAAGTATTTAGTTTTATGCATTAATGATATATTTAGGCAATAACAAACTGTTATTTGATATAACTTGTGATAAACACAATATAAGTTGGTCTAATACACTAAACATGAATTGATCCATTGATATTTTAATAATCAGTTAATAGTAAGTAGATAAGTCATATTACAGAAAAGAAATTAACAAATAATCAAGATATATTTAATACTTGAAGAATATGATGGGATATGGTCAAGTGCTATGAAGACTTAATGAGTGACAATAAGGGATGTCATTATTATTATTATTTAAGCTTGTTACTCCTTGTGGAGGAGAATAGGCCGCCCATCCAGCATTCTCCATTCAATCCTGTCCTGGGCTGCCCTTTCCATATCTTTCAAGTTGTTATTCATTCTTTTCATATCTGCTTCTATTTCTTGACGAAATGTGTTCTTTGGCCTTCCACTTTTCCGCTTCCCTTGAGGATTCCAGGTAAGGGCTTGTCTCGTGATGCAGTTCGATGATTTTCGTAATGTATATCCTATCCATTTCCATCGTCTTTCCCCGATTCCCTCTTCAGCTGGACGCAGTTATGTTCTCTCCCACAGTAGACTGTTGCTGATGGTATCCGGCCAATGGATGTGGAGTATCTCGCGTAGTCAATTGTTTATAAATACTTGCACATTTTTGATGATGGTTGCAGTAGTTCTCTACGCTCAGCTCCGTACATAGGACTGTCTTGACGTTCGTATTAAAGATTGTGATTTTGATATTGGCTGAAAGTTGTTTTGAATTCTATATGTTCTTCAATTGTTGGAGTGTGGCCCTTGCTTTGCTAATCCTCACGTTTACGTCTGCATCAGATCCTCCCTGTTCATCGATGATGCCTCCCAGGTATGTGAAGGATTGTACATCTTCCAAAGTTTCGCCATCAAGAGTGACTGGATTGTTGTTCTCCATGTTATATTTGAGGATCTTGGTTTTCCCCTTCTGTACGTTGTGGCCTACTGATACATAGGCTGTTGCTACACTAGTTGTCTTCATCTGCATTTGTTCGTGTGTATGGGATAGGAAGGGAAGGTCATCTGCGAAGCCAAAGGGATGTAGACCGATAAATATCAAGTTAATCCTATCCATTTATATGTAGATATCGTTATCCACCACTTAATCAAAAGTATTTCAACCCCACGAACACGTAATACAGTTCCTTATCAAATAACATACATGTTATTATTATTGTTTCCTCATTTCATCCGTGATCACCGTCATCAGTCGACTGCCGCTAACAAAAACTAGCATTCTTGACAAATTTTAATATAATTGAATAATCTGAACACTCTATGAAGTTTCAACTCAAATAATGTGTGTCGCAAGTACAAAATAATTCCCGTTAGTAGATTCATTGGTTCATGTTGGTATACTGTTGTTAATGGATACGTGAGTCATAAACAATATATGCTTTGGAATAAAAGCCGATGTTGCATATCATACCAATGAGAAGAAGAAGGAAATCACTATGATGAAAACTGAAGAATTCAAAATAATAATAATATCAATAGTAGTGAAAACAGTTCAAAAACTAGATATTTATGTGTAACTAAGATACGAATACACTTTTGCAGTTACATTATTTGACCACAGATGCCGTAGAAATATTGTACACATCTTCCGGGATCATCGGCTAAGAAATAGTGAGGTTAGACGCAAGGTATTAGGGCATGATGGTAAATCAGTTGATGAGGTTGTAAATCTTCATCAAGTGAGATAGTTGGGCCGCGTGTTGTGTATGCCTGAACACCGATTACCACGACGCGCAATGCTGACTAGTGTTGGGAATGGTTGGAAGAAAGTTATGGGCAGCCAAACTAAAACGTGACATCAGTGTTTCAAGTCATTAACTTTTAGTCTGAGCCATGTTGGTACATGCAGACTACTTGGCTGGGGTCCTCGTGACTATCCTAACCAATGGTTGAAGACTCTGGGTGATATGGTTCAGAATCAATCACAATGGCGTCGGTGTATACACTGTCTATCTTCCCTTAAACTATGAGATTAAAATTGCTTTACATCTTTCTTTCTTTTATATATTACTACCATTGAATTAACTACTTCTATGAATTTGGTGTTCATCTTGTTGTGTTAATGAGGTATGGCAACTTGGATCGATGCATATATGTGTCTGGTCCTACGTTGTACCTGACTGACTGATGAAATGACAATTCATCTTTAGTTATTTTAAACAAATTCGTATATAAACTCTGTTATTTTGATTTCAAATATTTCAAAATATGTCCTTAATTTCTAATTAGTAAATTGAAATATAATTTAACAATGTAAATACATTTTTATTAAGAAACATGTCATTTGACCTTAGTGATTTAAAAGGGGATATATATATATATCAGCAAACGCTGATACAGTCTGTACTTTAAATGATCAATAATGAAGTGTATGAAATTAAATGTTCAATAGATATAAGAAGAGCTAAATATGCTTTAGTGAATGAGATATCATTCAGTGGAACTATACACTATTACTGGTAATTATTTAACAAAGAAAATAGTAATTTCAATAGTTGAGATCATGAGTCAATTGAAGCTAGGCCACCATGGAAAACTTGGAAGTACTGGACCGCCGTTTTGTCCTATTGTGGGACTCCTCAGCAGTGCGTATCCACGATCACGTCTCGCAAGATTCGAACCTGGAACCTGTCAGTCTTGTGCACGGGCGCTTAAACACTAAACTACTGAACTGGCATCTAACGGTGTTAATGTTTAACTTCAACGATTGAAATTACTATAATATTCATAAAAATCCTTTCTGATATTAATAAAGGAAATAATAGTTTATTGAAGGAAAAAACAAAGTGAACTATATGATGAAGTATTTGAGTATCTGATATATCATAGGAAGTTTGAGTGTCATTGATTTAGAGGTTAAATATAACTGATAGAATGAAAATAGTTTATAGGTTAAAAAAGTATGAGAAAACTTTCTATATTAAAGAAGTATAGAGAAGAAATGAAAAACATGGAGACAATAGTAGTTGAGTAATATTCACACACACACACACACACAAACTATAAAAATGTAATAACAGTTGATTGCTGAGTAAGATAGATTAGAACAGACGTTAGTCCTATGATATAAATGAGGTATTACATGTGACGCTTTTACATACAGTGTTAAGAATTGAACCAATGATTTGTTAAAGCCTTTGAAGTGTACGATAACTTAATATGTACTCTTATTGACTTTAATTGTTTGGCTTTGTAGATTATTTCGAAAGACAATTCTAATGAAATAGGATGACTTGAATTGATGAGATGTTTCAGAATTAAACTAATTATTGTTTGTTAACAGTCACATCAAGTTATAATGTAAGATGAATTTTAGAAGTGTACATCCAATGTAACCTATACCAAAAGAACAATCGGATTTATAGGTCCATATCGATTTGTATCCCTAACACACTTTTGAATGATAGATGGACTAGAGAAGATGATAAGAAAGTTTATAGAATAGAAATGTTTTTCCTTGTATAACATGTAAAAGTCTTAAAAACAAGTTGCCAGTCTATTCAACGATACATTTTCCATTTACAAAAGTAGTTCAAACAAGTGTTCATCTATTTGAGATAGTGTTCAATTTGAGAATTTCAACACTTTCAAAATGATTCTTATCATAACAAAATACTGGGTTGCACTGACCGGTGATAATACATAAAAATAGTTTACTATAAAAATGACATTAACTGCTTAATGTTGAGTAGTTTCATATTCCAGAATGGAACAGTTGTCGAATGCTTCATGATTTTCACTAATGGTCTATATAAATTCAATCTATGATGAATAATGCACAGATAAACTTGTGTTACATTACAAACAGTAATAAAATAACCATGAATTAAATGTTACATATATACTTACCACTGGATCATATGAATGAAATATATTGAATACTCTTCGACATGCAAAATATGAAAATAATGCTTCAGGATCAATTTCATCTAAATCAATACCTGTATGTTTAGATGTTGATGTTGTTGTTGTTGTTGTTGTTGTTGATGTAATACTATTTTGTATTGAATGTGAATTACTTGTTGGATCTCGTTCATCATCCGTAGAATTAGTTAATTGTAATGAATGAGTCGATGGATTTATATATGTTGGTGGACATAAATCATTCACTGATATAAATAAGGCTAATGGTGAACCAATTAAAAATAGATTTGCTAACTAAATCATAACAATAATAGTAACGAAGAGAAAAACAAAGAAGAAAAAAAACAGGACAATATAAATCAATAAAGATTCAAATGTTTATTTAATGAGATAATTGTCTATTTATCAATACTGAAATTGCTATTTATCGTAAATGAATCTCTGTAAAATAATACATTAATTAAAAGTTATTAAGCAAAGATAGATTGTGGCTAGCAGTAGAATCTAGCATGCGCTTTTCATCCTATTCGGAACTCGTCAATTGCATGTACCAGCATTCCTCGGTTGATATTCACTTTGGGACTTGAACTCGGTACCGTTTGCTTCAAACGTCATCACGTTATCTACTCAGTTACAAAATCCTGATAGCCACTTGCTTGTACAATAGGGTGAAGTTTGAATTCAATTAGTTTTGTTTTTACTTGTATCTTCCCATTGATGTTTAAGACTGGTATATGTACATCCATCTTTGCTTAAAAAGCTTGTGACTTAAAGCAATCCGCACAGGACAAATATATACCAACAAGAGACAGATCAATTGAATTCCTAAACAACAATGGGAAGATACAAGCAAACAAGACCAAGTGCATTAATAGTTATGTCAGGGTTAGATACAACGTTATATCTTATTTTTTAATTAAAATTTCATCGGTGCATTACAATAAGAATGATTACACATCTACTTCAACTGAACATTTAACTATTGATTAGAACACTAAGTATAAATGAACATCACATTCATAAGTAGCATATCATGTAGCACAACACTTAATTTGATTATTTAAAGATAATTTTATAATCTCAGAAGAAACTTTTGGCTGAAATATTAAAGTATAAATATAATAATTTTATGGTCAATCAGTTATGGGTTATTAGAATGTTAGTCAAGTTAGTTAAGATGATAGAAAATAACTTGAATCATCCCATTGCTTTAAGTAGTGATAGTTAGTAGTAAGCAGTAGAATCTAGGACATGTGTTTCGTCTTAATCAGGCGTCGTCACTTGGATGTATCTGTATACCAGAGTTGATGTTTACGCTGGAGCTCGAACCCATTACTATTTGCTTTGAACTTCAGTATGTTTTAGCTACTTACTCAAGATAACCACTGGTTTGTACAATGGAGTGACGATAAAATTTTAATGAATTAAGATGGTAGGAAAGTTTATGTAAACCAAAAGTCAATAATTTGAAATGACTTTCATTATCCCTTTGTTAGATATTTTAACTAGTATTTGATCAGATTGTCTGGCATATGGGCATCCTGTATGGATTGCTTCAATATATGAAACGTCTCAGCCGTGTGCTTCCACGATCACACAACCTGAAATCAAATCCAGGACCCTCGGTTCCGAGCGCGAACGCTTAACCTCTAAACCGCTGGGTCGGCATTCAATGGTTTAACGATGAAATCCAATCAATCCACGAAATCTTACGGCCCTCAACAATTTCCACAAATCCTTAACGACAATTTGCCATATGGTCATTAGTAACTAGATTAGAGAGGAGATCTCCGGAATTCTAGTGAGAAGCCGCGACCATTGGGGCTGAACCGTGTAGATTGAAAGGCACTTACTCACTGGGTTTCAATGAAGTTCAACAATCCCCATGGCACCCTACTGACAAATTCAGTTTATCGACCAGGTGAAAAATTACGAACAACTGTTAGGTATTTTTTACAGGTATCATGTTTTATAAGCTATAGTAGCTGTTCATAATGTTGTTTTAGAAAGATTATAAGTAATTCAGGATTAGATTTCCTAGCTTATATTAAGGTATCAAATGTAAACTATTTAACTGTAATTTGGTTAGTAGTTGAATTCATGAGTCAATTGAAGCTAGACCATCATTGAAAACTTGGAAGCACTGGACGACTGTTTCGTCCTATTGTGGAACTCCTCCACGATCTCGCGACACCGAAGGTCCTGGGTTCGAACCCCACGGGCGGGACCGTCGATACGCACTGCCGAGGAGTTCAACAATGGGATGAAACAGCCGTCTAGTGCTTCCAGGTATTCAATGGTGGTCTAACATCAATCAGTTCATGATCTCAATCAATAACAAGAAATATCATTACGTAATATTATGGTGAAATAGTAGAATACTAAATCATAAAGGCTAATTTATTGATCTATATGTTGAATTGTACATAGTTAAATTGTGTCAATATACATAGACATTGTATGATAGATTAGTTTACAAGTAAATTATTGTTGTCTGATCTTGTTTGTTTTTTTAAAATTCTTTACTTAGTATTTATGGTGTTAAAATTTAAACAAATGTGTTTTCATAAATGTAAAAGGTTTGTGAAGATTGTTACATTTGGTATTTCTATTATGTAATAATCTTAATTACACAACTATTAAAAATCAAGGAGAAATGGAAAACTATTTCATTCTAAATTCACTTGGTATTGTTTACTTGAATCTTCTCATTGATGTTTAAGACTGCAATTGATAAGTTTCTTATTGGCATACATGCATACGGTGAGCGTTGCCTTGATATTGCCTCAGTTCACAAGCATTATAAGCAGAGATGGGTAGTGGCTAGCGGTAGAATCAAGGATGCGCGTTTTGTCCTATTTCGGACTCGTCAGCTGGATGTATTTGCATTTCAGAGTTGATGTTCATTCTGGAACTTGAAACAAGTACCGTTCACTGCAAACGCCATCGCGTAATCCACTTGGAGACTGATTCCTAGCTTCGAATTACAGAGTAAACACCAACGTTGGGATGCAGTTACACCCAGTTGACGAGTCTCAAATAGTACGAAACGCAAGTCGTGGATTCCACTTTCAGCCAATATCTATCTTTGTCTATTTCATTCTAGCTTGAAAATCCTGAGCAATGTAAGTCCACCATTTAATTGGAGTCATTAAAATGTATCAACAAACTGTAGAGTAGATTAGCACAGATGAAGTTTTCTCCAAATAATCAGTTACTTCAGGAGAATATTTCATCAAGCAAGGATACAAGAAGAAATTAGGAAAAGAAGATGGAAGTCGATAGGACAAACATCATGGAAATCTTTAAACTGCATCACGATGAAGGCCCTAACTTGGAAGGCCAAAAAAACACATTACACCGAGAATCGGAAGCAGATATGAAAAGAATGAAAAGCTGCTAGGAAGGATTGTATAGGAGAGAGATGGATAGAGAATGTCGGTGGGCGGCCTATGCTCTTCCATGAGAGGTAACATGCGTAAGTAAGGAAATAACATCCACTCACAGTTAGATGATTTAAAAGTGAAAAAAAGTTGTCTGGTTGAAAACCTAATAAATTGTAACTTAGTGCATAATATTTAACTGGTTTACCTCAATAAAGAAGCCACTATTAATGCTGTTGACAATTAAACTAAAGATAAATAGACGTTCAAATAAATTTACGAAATCTCTATAAACATTCAAGAGAAATCAATCAAAAATAGTACTTTTTTTTTAAAAAAACCTTTTTAAAATTTTTTCGCTGAGATTCAAGTATTTCAAATGTTTTCAAAAAACTCCGCCTGGAGCCATTCTGTCGCTACTGCCAGACCCAAGCACGGATAGAGGAAGGTTGGGCATAAGGTTAGTGACCTCAGAAACATTAAGTAAGATGTTTCAAAAATATCCATTTATTCTTCAATAGATCATCGTTACTCACTTACGCCTGTTACTGCCAATGGAGCATAGGCCGTAACCAGTGTTCTCCAACCCACTCTGTCCTCCGCATTCCTTCCTAGTTCCATCCAATTCTTGTTCATTTTTATCATGTCTATCTCCATTTCCCGGCGTAATGTGTTCTTTGCTGCTACACTGATCATTTTCTCCTGCATTTGTTGTTGCGATTGCGATAGGAGGGCCAGATCATCTGCGAAGTCTAGATTGTCCAGCTGCATTCTAGCTGTCCACTATATCCCGTGTTTTCCTTCAGATGTTGATGTCTTCATGATCCATTTATCACCAGGAGAAAGAGAAAGGGTGAGAGTAAGTAACCTTGCGTGGCACCGGTCTTTACTTCAAACGAATCTGTGACCTGTCCTCCATGCACGATTTTGCATCTTTAGGTGAAGCTGAAATTAGCTTTTTGAAGTTTTTTTACCTTCTCGGTTGTTGAAGTTTCGGTGAGAGTGTAATTGATCATAATGTGAACTATGATTATGATTCTATTTTATTACCGTGTTGATGTGAATAATAAAGTATGATACTTGATACAAATATAAACAGAGTATTTTCTTACACAAATACATACCTGTTCAGATTGTTATACATTACATTTGTACAGAGACAGAAACAAAAACAAGACAAAAGGTTACCTTAACGAACTAATGATAATGTCAAATAAATGAACAGAATTTATGAAGTGATACTAAGTTTAATATTTTAGTAAAGACAAAGCAAAGAAAAGAGAGATAAGTAATGAGTGACTCTATGCAACTAAGATCGATTTCCCGTTTTTTCTTTATAAACTATCGGAAGATAACTAAAGTCGAAAACTTATAAAACTGAAAATATATGGATAACGTAGATGAGGTCAATAAAACGTGTTCATTTTCTTTTATTGAAAAGTGTTTATGTTACTGCTTAAATAGTTTTTCCAGTAAAAATATATTTAATTGGAATCATGAACCGATCTAAGTTAGATCATTACTGAAAACCTAGAATGGCCGTTTCGTCCAAGTACTGGGCTCTTGGCATTGCAAATCCACGACTGTGTACCCGAGAATCACTCTCAGGACATTTAGTCTTGTACACGAAACTCTAGTATCTAGGCTACTAAGTTGACATCCAACAATGTCTCATGCACGATCTAAATTAGATCATTTCAGGATTTCAATGAAATCCAACAATCCCAATAAACCCATACTGCAAATTATATATTCAATATTGAGACGAAGTAATAATGTTACTAATAAGACTAAAACAAATTCAAGGTTAATTAGATTAGTAGTGTTAACGAAAAAACAATGTAGCAGGTGATTAGCTCAATTTATAACTTCTATGCGAATAACTAACTATGCACATTAAAACAATGCTAGTAACATACAAAAAAAAACAGTCTCATAAGAGATAGTACAACTTCCAAAACCAGAATCTTTCTGTAGGTATTAAAAATAATAAATAATTCATTAATCATATTTAATCATTTAAGAATTTCTATACTGAATACGAGAACTGATTACATTGGGATAGTAGATGGTTGGTACACCTTCTCGCAACGGGGGTGTTGTTTATGAAATTGAGAGGATGAAAAGCGAATGTCTGGCGCTTTAACCAGGTTGGTGGACACGGAGAGTCCATCTAGGGGAGTTGGAAAACCCTTATTCCAAACCAATGGTAAACATCAGTTCCAATATCCTGAGGGAACAAATGGCGTATGAACCTATCGTTGGTTACCAGCTACCATGGGACTGAATCTCCTGACGTTGCTTCACTGCCTTGTGAATTAGACCTTTAGGTCAAAGGCTCCGGGTGTGATCCCCTAAGAAATTCACCTTCTTTCGTTTAGGCATCTGGGCAGTATGACAGCTCACACACAAATCAAGTGACTTGTATGGCGCATATGTATTCGGTGCCTCTTTGTACGCATATTTATGTGTTCAGGTAAATAAATAAATAATAGTTAAGAGGTTATGTAATAATAACTATATAACTATAAATACGAATAAACAACTTAAGTAAGTGATTTCGTCGAAAAAAATCCTTCCTTTCTCAGTTCTCTTTATTTTTATTCAATCATGCCATAAGTTATTTTAGTTCATTATTTGAAAAGGTGTTCAACGGAGAATAATTTGTATACTGTAGTAGTTGAAGATTGATACCAGTTGAGGTGCTCTTGAAAACCAAGAATTGATAGATATAGTGGGAAGCCGTTACCAGTGGAGTACAACCAGGTCTGTTGTGAGATATCAGCTCACTGAAGACAATGGTATATGGTAGCGCAACTTCGTGGATTGGTTCAAGTTAGACATTAACATCGTTGGATGCCGGCTCAGTGGTCTAATGGTTAAGTGCTCTCGCGCCAGCAGGTCCTGGGTTCGAGCCCCGCGTGGTGCGGGATCGTGGATCCGCACTGCTGAGGAGTCCCATACCAGGACGAAACGGCCGTCCAGTGCTTTCAGGTTTCCAATGGTGGTCTAGCTTCAACTGACTCAGGATTCCAATCTGTGAAAATTTCATTTTGTGAATCAATTTATCAGATATATATGGTTGATGATCATGTATTCAGTGTAAAAACATTCTAGAAAGAATTAGATTACGATAAACACTTATGAAATACCAGAACAATAAAAATGTTCGACTTAAAAAATAAACAAACAAACACGAAGTTCAACGAAGGGATCTCTTTTCAACGAATCTATTATCGAATTATACAATCATATGTATTTATGAAGACATTTGAACAATGAATAAACATGATGGTGTAATAGATAGATTACAATACTAGATTACATTATATGAATAATAATAATAAGTAGTTGCATGTATGCAAATAAAAAGCCTTGTAAAGTTAATAATGAATTGTAGTATGAGTAAAGTAAGATAATTAAAATGGTTTTGTTACAATAATTTAAGGTGATGAAAGGTTTAAACAAGATGAAATTATATCGGTAACGATTAGGAATAACTGCTGAAATCTAGGGTAAATACAATTAAGCCAGGGTAAATGCACTTCAGCACGAAGCGAGGTGCATGCTTCATTACATATCTTTAGGTCATGATAATGATCACTCCTCAGGTTCACCTACGGAAACCTTATTACGACTTTTACTTCCTTTAAATAGTCAAATTACGTCATCTTCCCAGTATCAGTCGAACGGCAAAGCTACTACAACGACACCAATCCAATGACCTCACTAAACCATTCAATCGGTAGAAACGACGGGCGTTGTGTACAAAGGGCAAGGACGTAATCAGCGCAAGCTTATGACTTGCACTGACCAGGAATTCCTCGTTCAAGGGGAATAATTGTGAGCCATGAGCCCAGTCACGATGGTGATGAAACAGTTTGACCAACATCTTCGGGCCAGGTTTCCAGACTCGCCGGCACCATCATTGTAGCGCATGTGTGGCCCAAGACGTTTAAGGGCATCACAGACCTGTTATTGCTCGATTTCGTGCGACTTATTTGTGCCGCGACCACACTACCCCATAAAGAAGCAATAGAAGCCGCGCTCTAAGCGAGCACAGAGGACCAGTCTACTATTTAGCAGGTTAAACTATCGTTTGTTATCGGAATTGAGCAGACAAATTGCTCCACAAACTAAGAACGGCCATGCACCACCACCCACCGAATCAAGAATGAGCTATCAATCTGTCAATCCTCACACTGTCCGGGTCGGGTGAGTTTTCCTGTGTTGGGTCGAATTAAACAGCAGGCTTCACTACTAGTGGTGCCCTTCCGTCAATTCCTTTATGAATAGAATAATGGTAATATGACAAATAATTACAAAGAGATGGGTATATTTACAAGTGTGAAATCAATGAGATGAAAATAAAGTTACCACAATAATAGCAATATTTTAAGGTCACATTATAAATATACTTCAAGCTTCGTTCGATGTATAGTAAGAGCTTATACCGTTTTGAGGAGTTGAATATAAAGAATTTCACACTATATAATCTAGTATTATAATCTTTCTGTCACATCATCACGTTAATTCATTGTTCATATGTTCTCACAGAATTAGTACTTGAAATTTCATATATTGCTTACGTACGCTTTTTACCTCTCATAGGCATAGGCAGCTCACCATTATTCTCCATCCAACTCTGTCCTGGACAATCCTTTCCCGTTCTTTCCAGTGCTATTCATCCTATTCGTATCTGCTTCTTATTCTCAGCGCAGTGTGTTCTTTGACCTTCCTCTTTTCCTTTCCCTACAGGATTCCAAGTTAGAACTTGCCTCGTGATGCAGCTTAATGATTTTCACAATGTATATCATATCCACTTCTAATGTCTTTTCTTACAGAAGGCTGTTGCTGATGGTATCCAGCCAATGGATGTTGAGTATCTTGTGTAGACAACCATTTACAAATACTTGTACCTTCTTGATGATGGTTTCGGCAGTTCTCCACGTTCAGTTCCGTATAATAGGACTGTCTCGACGTTCGTATTAAACATTCTGACTTTGATATTTATTGACAGTTGTTTTGATTACCATATGTTGTTCAATTGTTGAAATGCGACACTTGCTTTGCCAAAATTTCATATATATGTATATACAATTTTACGGCTTGATAACAAATTCATCAGAAAGAGATGCTTTTGTTGAACTTTGTGTTATTAATGTCTAAGTGGGAATTATATATGTTCAATATGAGATTCTATCTTGAATTAAAAATAACCATACTGAATTCTAGATATATCAAACATTGAATATCTAGAATAGTCTACAATACGTTCATAATCCAGATAAACATACCAACATAGTACAATAAATCATGCTTGATCTAATATTTTTTCTAGTTAGCAATTGTCAGAATGTCATTCTCCACAATATTAAGGAAACTGATATTTAAAATAGGAAATGTATTCAGTGTCACTAACTGCCACGCTTATTGATGTCGATATGTAATAAGATAAAATTGAATCATTCAGACTAATAGCAATATTTACAATAATTGCAATCATGAGTCAATCGAAGCTAGAACACCATGGAAATCTGGAAGCACTGGATGGCCGTTTCGTCCTAGTGCGGGACTCCTCAGCAGTGCGCATCCACGATTCTGCCCTCGCGAGAATCAAACCCAAGACCTATCAGTCTCACGCGCGAACGCCTAATCATTAGACTACTGAGATCACTAGCGACTGACTTCAAGAGGCATTTCCTGGAGTTCTGGTGAGAAACAGTGACTAGTGAAGTTCAACCAGGTCTGTTTGAGATATCGGCTCACTGAAGACAATGGTGTACGTTGGCGCAATTTCGTGGATTGGTTGAAGTTAGACACTAGCACCGTTGGATTCCAGGCTTAGTGGTATAATGGTTAAGCGCTCGCGCGCGAGACTGATAGATCGTGAGTTCGAGTCTTGCGGGGGGGCGGGTCGTGTGTGCATACTGATGAGAAGTCCCAAACTAGGACGAAACGGTTGTCCAGTGCTTCCAGGTTTTCTATGGTGGTCTAGCTCAATTGACTCATGATTTCAACTATTGAAACTACTAAAATCTCCACAAAACCCCTTCTGATGATAATGGAAATATTGTCACTTAATTGATATAAACTGTATTAGAATTAATCACCAAACCATATAATGTTAGTTACTATCAAAATAAGTATACAAAAAAAAAACACACATCAGTAGATTATTGCCATAAGTAGACATTCGGTCATCATTCATACATAAACAGTATATATTTAGGATAACTTGAAAGTGATCAGTTAGAAAATATTGTGAATTACACCGAATACTATTTTTTTATAAGTTAACATGAGGTGAAATTTTCTTATAAGTAATATATATATAAAGTATATATTGATAGTTGACACTAGATTCAATTCTATGTTAAGCAGATGAATTCGTCACATACACCCATACACACACTCACACACACATATATATACACACACGCTGATGAGCATTTCAACAGCTCATGTACACATGTAAATTCGAATCTATGTAAAACACAAGTAATACCTGTGGTACAGATTTCCATTCTTTTGGTTTTGATATATTTTCCAAAAATGATCCCCGCTATTAAACAGTTAAAGATTAGAACTGAGATAAATTTCTAAATATTTGGTTCTAAATATTAAATCTATGTGCATAGCAACTTGATTGTAGAAGAATTACTACTTTTTGATTCTTGATCATAAAGAAAATTCCCATTGATTAATATAAAACAAAATATGTAAGTTGTATTATGGGTCCGATGCGACGAAAACAAAAGTAGGTTTTGATTATATGATTCATTATATGGAACATTCAGTGTTTATCATACTAGTGAATACGGAGACTTAAACAGTGTATCATGGTCATAGTCAGAAGTCTGGTGTTAGTATGTTTTCGAATGCTGGATGAAAATATGATTTTGAAATGTATGATACAATATCAAGAAAGCAGTTTAGTTGGAAATTCGATGCCTGATTTCTTTAATTATTTTTAAATTATCAGCGATGTATTGTATGAAACCTCGAGGAAGCTCATGCTATCCTATAATTTTTGTGTTCATGTGAAATCTTATAGCTCACACCACAAAGCGGTCTTAACTAGACAACAATTAAAGACTAGGAAGTACTAGATAGCTATATCATCTTATTGTGAAAGTCCGCAATAGTACAAGGCCACTGCGCCGATGGGGTTCGAACCCAAGTACGTCTGGTTTCATGGTTGATATCTAACTTTTAAATGACTGAGTCCAGTATCCGATGTTTTATATGTCCGACTTCAGTCAATTCATGATATTAAGCAACTATCTTCCAGTGTGATTGATAGATAACTCCCTCACCTCAGAAATGGTTGAACTTGAATGGTTGTGTCTTCTCACTAGAACTCTGAAAATCACCTCTCAAAATTGGTTACTAATAAATAAATGATTATCATTAGCATAGTGAGTTTTTAGAAATTAATAAAGTCGATAATCAATTTACAATAAATCCAACGATTTTTTGTAATGACCGGGTTCTAACAATAATAGCTAATGACAATTCATAACGGTAACTGAAATAAAAGATAGAAATAAACACATGCAATCTTCTCGGTTTCATGTGATAATCAGTCATCACTAGAAACAATTAAGTATACTGTTAAACAGCACGAATATAATTTAAATCCTACACATACTAACCTTTAAACAATATTACTCGAATTATATTGATCAGCTCTATGAACTGATTTTAACAGAATACATACTTCTTAAATGGTCAGTCGAAAATTTACAAGGGTCCAAGGATCTAGGTTTCATTCTTGTCGGTATTAGCCAACAAAAATTTTCACTAATCACGATAGGTTCAATGCTTCACAGGGAGCTCAAGTGCAGAAGCTTCATGTTTGATGTATAAAGGTAGATGCTCACATCATAAATGATATATATGGTTAAGCCCTTTTATTAACTTATTTAACAGACAGAGTCATTCATACAACAACAAAATCTTATCTATACCAATGTAATTTCATTATTGTTGCGCTTGTATAAACATGTATGCTTGAGCATTGCTTACCATATACGCAAATACTCATTCTGCTAGCTTTAGTGTTAGTCGCTTAAATGATTCGATGATGTATTCACTTTCCTATCTATATATATGTACATTTTAATCCTGTCCATAGACTCACTCGCTTGCTTGCTCTTCGGCACTCACATATCATTCTTACTTCGTGTGTAGTGCGATAATAAACGTAGTCAACGCTCTGTATTCCTTTTCTGATTTATACATCGTTGGGCGTTATCCAGTAACGGTTATCGGTAAGAACAGTATACGAATTTTAAGAATTATATCGAATACCGATGGTCACAGAATTGTTGATTTCCGACGTACGAACGCAACATAGCTTTCTAGGACTCTATCTAAATACAAGAATCAACCTAATCTATCTCGATACGAATTATTACAGTGGATTATTATTATTATCGTATATTCATTACATGATAACTATTTCATAAACATTATTGAACATATTTTGACAATATTAACAACCACAAGTAACGACATACATACAATTATTATACTAATGAATTTTAGTAAGTGTTATACCATTTTATCATTTGTTACTAGCATTATTACTGTCTATCTAATTTCCTTCCTTTATATATAAGTTTATTTATTTGTGCACTACTCATTGTATACAAACATGTCTTCAAATAAAGACACAATAAGTTTTTCACAAGCGCCGTACGTGAGGCCCCATAATTTTACTATTCTTCCTTTTAGGGTCACCGAACCACAACTTTGGTTTATTTGGCTTAAAAATTACCTTTTAGTTAACCGTATTTATTTGCAACAAGATAAATTTGGCCACGCAAGCTCACTGCTTCTGGATGAAGTAGCGGACAATTTATGAGAGTTTCTTGTTAAACCGGATGCAGAAAAGCCACATGACGTATCAAAGCAGGCTGTGATAAAAGCCGTCGAGCAGCTTTTCAGTCAAGTGCAGATAGGAGACAGGACTCCATCACAGCTAAAAAAAATTACATAAGCAGCATAATAGAGGACAGGAAGGTAGACAAAAACATATTTTATCAGTTGTGACTCCGTCGACTCCCTTTGAATGTGCAGTTGAGGATAGCGCTGCCGACATAAACAACATCACTAAAACAGCTGATAGGATATATGAGAAAATCAAACACACGATTTCATATGATTTTGTTATACGTAGGAAATGATTAAATATAAAGGAACACTTACATTCGGATATTTCAAGGTACGATCGCGATCTGTATTATTATTACTATTATTGGTAATATTATTGACCGACTCTTTCGATCCGGAATTCGAATAACCAGTTAAGTTACTAAAAGAACACAATGATAATAATGACGAATCAATAATAATTTTCGATGCGCATAGTAAACTAATACAATGAGAAAAGCTATAAACTAAGTTCATATAAATATTACAACAACAACTTATCACTTTAATAGATTACTAGATTAGAAAGGTTTTGTTCAGATTTTTAGTAGTTTCAATAGTTGAAATCATGAGTCAATTGAAGCTAGACCACCATGGAAAACCTGGGAGCATTGGACGACCGTTTCGTCCTAGTTTGGGACTTCTCATCAATATGCACACGCGATCCCGCCTCCCGCAAGATTCGAACCCATGATCTATCAGTCTCGCGAGCGAGCGCTTAACCATTATACCACTAAGCCGGCATCCAATGGTGTTAGTGTCTAACTTCAACCAATCCACGAAATTGCGCCAACGTACACCGTTGTCTTCAGTGAGCCGATATCTCACAACAGACCTGTTTGAACTCCACTGGTCACTGTTACTCACCAGAACTCCAGGAAACGCCTCTTGAAGTCAGTCGCTAGTGATCTCAGTAGTCTAATGATTAGGCGTTCGCGCGTGAGACTGATAGGTCTTGGGTTTGAATCTCGCGAGGGCAGAATCGTGGCTTCGCACTGCTGGGGAGTCCCGTACTAGGACGAAACGGCTATCCAGTGCTTCCAGATTTTGCATGGTGTTCCAGCTTCAATTGACTCATGATTTCAACTATTGAAATTACTAGATTGTTTATTATTAATCATATGTATATATGAAGAATTGTTTACTTAAGGGTTGAACTGCCAAATGAGTAATGTTGAGGTTACATATAGGATGCTTGTTAAAAATTGCAAACCAGTTAATAAGACTGTGATCTTCATCAACTGAGGTGTTATGTATTAAAACACGTCCATCTGTTACTTTCCTGAGGTGCAATGTTTATTGAACGAGAAGAAAGTTGAAATGGAGCTCGGAAATGACCAAACAAACAAAGGATTTTAACTCATTGAGTTATTAGATATATAAGTGAACTTAGGTGTACATATTGGATGTATAAATTACATTATAAACAATGGCAAGAGCAAAAGACTTTAAGTGAGACAACTCGAAATCAGCTTCAACGACACTGATTGATTCGATCATTTCGTTTCTTTTTTTAAACGACTCTCGACTTTAAGTCCTTTTTTATCATCGTAAACGATGCCGTTACATCTAACTCCATGTTATTTATTTTGTTCACTTCACTTCGTTCTATAAATTTAATCTGTTAGGTTAAACGAAATGAACAAAACTTTTTCCTACAAGAAAGTGATTAAGAATTAGATTATATATTTCTAACATCAAAGTCCGAATTTTCAATACAAATATCAAGACAGTGCCAATGTATGGGGTGGAAACTTAGAGAACTACGAAACCCATCATTCAGAAGATACAACTGTTTATTAACAGTAGTCTACACAAAATCCTTCGGATCCGTTGACCACACAATATCAACAACAACCTACTGTGGGAAAAGATAAAAGTAATTTTAATCTTACGGTTTAAGGGAAGACAAAGAGTGTATACACCTATGCCTGCGTGATCGATTTCGAGCCGTCATTGAGAGTCTCCAACCATTGATTACGATAGTCACGCCGACAATCAAGTATTCTGCATCCACCAAAATGGCTGAGATCAGAAGTTAGTGACTTCAAGGACTGATGACACGTTTTAGTTTGGCCACGCCTAACATTCTTCCAACCATTCCCAACACTAGTCAGCATTGGTCGTTGTGGTGATCGGTGCTCAGGCATACACAACACGTGGCCCAAATATCTCAGTCGATAAATATTTACAACTTCATCAACTGATTTAACATAATGTTCTAATACCTTGCGTCTAACCTCACTATTTCTTAACCGATGGTTCCAGAAGATGCGAGCAATATTTACACGGCATCTGTGGTTGAATACTAGCAACTTACGAGTATCTTCTATTCTTAATGGACACGTTTTGCAGCCGCAAAGTAGAACAGAACGAACTGCTGCGTAGTATACTCGATGTATAATCAATAACAGAAACGTTATTTAATTTATATATATAGTCGTATAATTATTAATTTACAAATCATAGAACTATACCCAGTAACTTACAAAGAAAAAAATAAAAGAAACATTTCATCTTTATAAATTAGATTGTCACCTAGAAGTTATAAATAGTTCCACAGTACTTCGGCGACAAGTTTATGTGTGACATTAATGAGGGAGAATATACTATACCTAGAGATTTGTGGATAAGATTATAATTAGTATACAAATTAATTTTCAATAATCAATCAATTACTTTCATGATCCTGAAACAAGTAATATTTCTATAGAACTTAGAAACTATATTCAGTTTGGCCATTAAAGAGTATAATAATAATAATAGGAATAGGAATTATTAGGTCACTTCGTGTTATGATTACGACCCAGCTGCTCCTATTGCTTAGTATTCTTGAACATTACTTCACTAGACAAGTCCTTAAATCAGAACATAGTTGAACACGAACGTAATTATATCCCAAAGAACAAGGTTGGAATGAAGTAGGAACCACAAGAAATAAAAAATTAGTATAATTTATCATTTTTACATAACAAGATCCTAAAGCCTTCTAGAAGTCCCAGCTAGCGCTGATTGGTTAGGAGGTAGCCAATCAACGTGCCCCAACACAATCGTGCACGGAACAGTTTTAATCCAATCTATATCCCTTTAAAATTTAGATTTTCATTGAACACAGTAAGGGAAGTTGAAAATAAATTGTTTTGTAAATAAAATACTGATAATCTTTCAAACGAATTCAAAGTAATTCCATTTAATGACTACTTAAACCATGAATCGTTACAGTAATGATCACTGAAATAAATTTGTGTTACGACAGTCAGATTTGAGAAATGATTAGTTGTTCTATAATCTTATGTATCATCTTTGATTATTAGTTGCTTATCTAATAATCAAACAATATTCAAATTTCAATAGTTGAGATTATGAGTCAATTGAAGAGGCGGGTCGTGAAGGCGCATTATGGAGGAGCGCCATAATAGAACGAAACGGCCGTCCAGTGCTTCCAGGTTCTCCATGGTGGTCTAACTTCAATTGACTCATGATCTCATTTATTGAAATTACTACAATCTCCATAAAACCAATTCTGATACTCAAATTATTTTGTACGATTAATTTAGAAGTAAACAATTTTAGGTGGTTGAAGGTAGTCGTAAGGAAATTATGAACCTGGGTTTCGTGCTACTCGGTATTCGTTACTATTGTGTTCCTACAATATTCAGAGAATTAATGCTGCTGGTGGGATTTATACTCCTTGTCATACATTTCTATAATCTAAGACCCCCTAACATTGAGTTATTCACATTTCGAACGACTTTTATAAAACTGAAATCAATCACTTTTATACAAATAATAACCTAAATTCCTCAAACTATAATCAAATACGATGAACCTGTTTTTTCCAAAGTCCATCATGTTGAGACTTTGGTGTGATCAGCTTCATTAGCAAACTATCATTTCAACCATCTAAGGAATTCCACCATTTCGGTGAAATTCTTCAAGATGTTCTAACTACAAGAGCAACTTGTTGTAAACACTAAGTGTTTAATCTTGAAGAGAATATATATCATTATTATTACTTATAATTCATTGTTATAAATAAATATCAGAAAAATTAGAAGGGATCATTAAAATTAAAAAAAAATAAATCAATTATGAATATCAGCTTACCGAGTCCTTCCTTTTTTCGGCCTAAGGGCAATTGTTCCACATTCATTATCATGAAGTGATGATTGTGAACAACTTAAATCCTTTATTAACAGAAATAAAGAAAAAACATATATACATATATGAAATATAAAATAATGTTGTAGATATCAATTAAAAACTTATGAATGTTCATACTTGTTCCTGAAGGAAACGTAATATGCATATATAGTATAACCACGATCTTGCATGCTGGACTCGAACCGAGGATGCGTATTGCCGACGAGTCTTATACTAGGACAAAACGGCCGTCCAATACTTTTAGGTTTTTAATAGTGGTTCAACTTATATTGACTCATGAAATCATCTATTAAAATCATTACAATCTTCACAAACCACATTCTAATATATGTATATGTCAATAATTGAATTCATGAGTCGGTTGAAGCTAGAACACGATGAAAAACCTGGGAGCACTGTACGGCCGTTTCGTTCAATTGTGGGACTCCATAGCAGCGCGTATCCACGACCCCGCCATGTCATTCAAATACAGAGAGAATTGACTATATAAACGAAAATGTATTCATTATTAATTCATAATTAGTTGAATGATTACTAGAATGTTAATAAACAATTAAATAATAGAACCATTATAAACAGATATTGATGATGGCTAGCAATGGAATTCAGGATGTTGATAATGATGTTTGTAACTTAATGACAATATTGAGACAGTGTAATAAGAAGATAAAGGTTATATATTAGCGCAATACCTTTCTAACAATCTGATCACACGTTGTATACTTGTTAAGAACGTTTATATATAAAAATAAAAGGTCAACTAGACTAGAAATGGAGGGTAAGAGGAGATAAGCATAATAAAGAAAATAAGGTGAGAACAATTTGAAACCTTATCACTGGATAATAAGCTAATATTACCAGGGTAAGTTTAAGGTGAAAGCAAGGCGTTTTTGAATACATAAATAGGGAATTCGAATTTTCGTATGGCTAAGGCTTCAATGGAGATCAGTATACGCACTTTTGTACAACACCACAAAAGCCGTGTTAAGATCAATCTTATGACATGTTTCAATTGTGTGTTTGACAATAGAGGATGATGGATGTTTATCATCTACTCTTATTGAGGCATTTGATATATATGTGTGATCAAATTGTTCGAAATGTATTGTGCTAACATATCATCATATAGTTCTGATAAACTTCGTCTTCTTACTACACTATTCAAATATTGAGACAATTTGCACAGGATTCATACAAACAAACAAAAAACTAATCAACGGCAGTTATTAACATCAGTGAGGAGATTCAAAACAGCTGATAGAATAAATCATTATATTTTAAGCAAGTAACTTTTTATTTTCATTTAGAAGGAGAGCATGAAATCCAGACAGGGGTGCTTACTCTCAACCATTCTCTTTCTCCTAGTGATCGACTGCATCATGAAGACGTCAACATCTGAGGGGAAGCATGGGAAACAGTGGACAGCTAGGATGCAGCTGGACGATCTAGACTTTATAGATGATCTGGCTCTTCTATCGCACACGCAACAACAAAAGCAGAAGAAGATAACCAGTGTAGCATCAGTCTCATCAGCAGTAGGTCTCAACATACACAAAGGGAAAACCAAGATTCTTCGATACAGCACAACATGCACGAATCCAATCATCATTGACGGCGAAGCTTTGCATGATACAAAAACTTTTACATATCTGGTCAATATGATTGATGAACAGGGTGGATCTGATGCAGATCTGAAGGCACGGATCGGAAAAGCAAGAGCAGCATATTTACAATTGGAGAACATCTGGAATTCCAAACAAGTGTCTGTCAACCAACACCGAAGTCAGAATTTTCAATACAAATATCAAGACAGTGCCAATGTATGGGGTGGAAACTTAGAGAACTACGAAACCCATCATTCAGAAGATACAACTGTTTATTAACAGTAGTCTACACAAAATTCTTCGGATCCGTTGGCCACACAATATCAACAACAACCTACTGTGGGAAAAGACAAACCAGATTCCTGAGGAGGAGGAAGTCAGGAAGAAGTGCTGGAAGTGGGTGGGACACACATACTTTTTATTAAGCTTACATGGTGTTCTCAGTCGGTCTTTGATTGCAATGTAGACAAAAGTCACATGGTGGGATTAATAATGCTGCGCGAATAAGATATGCCAAAGATAATGGAATTGGTTCTTGTTCAGGTAGGGTAATATCATAGCAAATTATAAGATTGCAAAGATCACTATATAATTGTGGAAGTCCTAGAAGGAATAACTTTCAAGTTAAATGTTATGCAATACTTAATTATTTACACTTGTATTAGCGTTCATGCAAATATAAGTATATGGTTAGATACAGGCTGTGAGTATATGAGTACCTCCAGACTACCAGTAGAGTTCTATCCATATTTTGGCAAAGCACAAAACCTTTTATGAGTCTACTTAGTACTATACGAAACAGTTAAAACACTAAACAACAATTTAGATTGTATATAGAATAATTTTATAAATAAATTGATGAGTTCAAACTGATCATTCACTGTTTTTCTCTGTAAAAAACGTTAAGTAAATTCGTTTTGAAAATAAATTACTGTTCAGTCAATCAGTCAATCAATCAATCAATCAATCAGTTAGTTACAACGTAGGATCAGGCACTTACATGCATCGGTCCAAGTTGCCACACCTCAATAACACAGCAAGACGAACATCGAATTCATAGAAGCAGTTAACCCCATGGTGTAATATATAAAGTACCGAAAGAAACTATTAGTTGGTAGAAAGAAAGATATAATGCAATTTTAATCTCATAGTTTAAGGGACGATAGAAAGTGTATACACCTATATCATCGTGGTCGATTGTGAGCCATGTCACCCACAGTCTCCAACCATTGGGTACGATGGTCACGAGGACCCCAATCAAGTGGTCTACATCTATCAACATGGCTAAGACTAAATGTTAGTGACTTCAAGGACTGGTGTCACGTTTTAGTTTGGTCGCCCCTAACTTTCTTCCAACCATTCCCAACACTAGTCAGCATTGCGCATTGCTATGTATCAACTGTAATTTCTTTCAAAAACGCTAAGATTATTCATTTTTGTTTAACACTACTGACCATCATTTTTATCAACCATGTTAGAACGACCAGACCATCCAGCTCAGAGAACAAAACTCCACCAAAATTATCCACCTGAGCTACAAGTCTTCTCCATCATCTCAAAGTGCATAAGATTTTTACACATTAATATCGTTCTGACATTAAAGAGGAAGAATGTATTTGTAAAGCTTGGATTCATACCAACTCGGTGCCCATATACTGTGAAACCATTTAATGTCGTTCTCTTTATTTATTTACATTGAAATAGGCATTATATAATACTATTAATTCTAAATTTTACTATTTTGAAATCTCAACTAAGAAGATATTATCTAACAACAACATTTAAGATAATATTTCCTTTCGAATAATAGGAAATTTCAATGAGATGAGGTGCTTTATTGACAACCAATTAATATACTGCTATAGTTCTTAGTATTTCTTGGTTTTTTATTGTCCATTAACGATGCTCTTCTGTTCATAAAACAGCTTTCGTTTGAACAAGATCATCTCATCGTCATAACAAAAAAACGCTCTACTTAGCACTCAAGTGTGTTTTCTTAACTTACTTTAATTTATTGTAACACAGTGAGATACAGATGAAAACAGATTACAACCTAGAAGTCGAAAAAGCTTTGAATTCATTACCACACAGAGACAAGAAATATAATGTATAAAGTATAAAGTTCAAAGTAAATGGTGTATTACTGGAAGAGTTTTGTGTAGATTAGTTGAAATTGTAAACGTTCTGTTATAACTAGTCAGTTACCCCTAATCCGGTTGTACCAGAAGGAAAGTCACCAGCCGAGTGTATGTTTGAAAGGAAAATCTGAAAAGTCTTTAACAGTATGTTGCCTCACAGAAAGACAAATAAACCCATGAATGAGTATCGTACGGTCACTCGTAGCTTCCAGGTGGGTGAAAGGGTACTTGTCAAATCGTATCAAGGTAATAGGAAGTGGGAACCAGGTGTCATAGAAAGTCGGATCGGAAATGTATTGTACCTAGTTCGGAGAAATGTCGGAACGTGTATTAGACACATAAATCAAATTCGAAGGGACGACAGAACATTGGTCCCACAAAGCCGACTCCCGTTTCAATTGCTTGTGGATTCATCTCGAAAAACTCAGGAGCGCGAATGTGGAAAAGAAAACAGACGCAAGGGCAAAGCTGCACAACCTTTGAGATTGATGGACCGCAAGAGGAACACGGTAGCCAAGTTTTAGGTGGATTTGAGGAAAAAGTCTTACACAACAGGCTTAGAAGGGTGGAGGTGTGAGTACGATCCACGGGTGAACTCGTGGAAGCCTTAAGAATCTCAGAAAGAGCCGAAGATATTCCATCCAGACATCTTTTGGAAGAATACCCTAGAATCTCTACATGTAGCTTCCCGATCGGACAATGCTAATAACCTCCTGTGTGCAGATTGAATAGCTATAATGATGATTTCGTTTTTACTAAAAACTACTCTAATTTGACACTGTTCGGAATAACATTCCTTTCACTGATCTTCTGTCTTCTCATTGCGACTTGGAAAGATTCTAGCGTTCAAGTGCTCAAGTTATATATCAAGAATATAAGCATTCGATTCACAAGTTATAACAATTGGCGACGGGGATTTTGGAAAACATAAACAAGATATAACACATTCTACATCACAGAATAATCTCAACTGAGAAACTGTCAAAAATCAAAGAGCAGTGGGTAGCTGATTCATCTTAAAAGCAAAATTCCCATCAGTGTGCATCCACAAGCCCACTGGGGATTTAAACCCCTGCCTTTAGACATCGAGTCTGATGGTTCTGAGTTCGATTATTCACACATTCAAGTTGGCGATATGATGCTACTTTTGTAGACGATTAATTTATGTCTGACACAACTCAGTTTCACCAGTCATGGCTCCTTTGCAGTGAGTGAACTTGAAGATCCGTACTTCTGGATGCTAACATATCAGTCAATTAGTTAAGCTGTAGAAGCGTGGTCAGTGGGTCTTGGATTTGATCACCCGTTGAATTATGGGTACCCACCACTGAGCGGCCCCATACTAAATTGGAACAACTTTTCAATTCTCTTCGGTATCAAAATTATAACACCTAAGGTAAATCTGTGAAAAAAGGCGTGCAAATAATGTATTCATTAAAATGACTTCATTTATTGAAAGCTTTGATTAAAGGTTGACATTTCGTGGCATGAATATACTATGGATGGTAAAAATGATGGTCAGTAGTGTTAAAAAAAATGAATAAGCTTTGCGTTTTTAAAAGAAATTACGGTTGATACATAGTAATGAGCAATGCTGAGTAGTGTTGGGAATGGTTGGAAGAAAGTTAGGGGCGACCAAACTAAAACGTGACACCAGTCCTTGAAGTCACTAACATTTAGTCTTAGCCATGTTGATAGATGTAGACCACTTGATTGGGGTCCTCGTGACCATCGTACCCAATGGTTGGAGACTGTGGGTGACATGGCTCACAATCGACCACGATGATATAGGTGTATACACTTTCTATCGTCCCTTAAACTATGAGATTAAAATTGCATTATATCTTTCTTTCTACCAACTAATAGTTTCTTTCGGTACTTTATATATTACACCATGGGGTTAACTGCTTCTATGAATTCGATGTTCGTCTTGCTGTGTTATTGAGGTGTGGCAACTTGGACCGATGCATGTAAGTGCCTGATCCTACGTTGTAACTAACTGATTGATTGATTGATTGATTGACTGATTGACTGAAACAGTAATTTATTTTCAAAACTAATTTACTTAACGTTTTTTACAGAGAAAAACAGTGAATGATCAGTTTGATCAAACCATCCAGCTCAGAGATTAAAACTCTATCAAAATCTCAGACACTGTAAATCAACTGATTTCTATATATGGTACATCATAGAAAGTTGAAATTTATAAAAGTCAACATGAGAACAAAATTAGCAACTCACATAAATCAGTATAACTAATGGGATGAATTTTATTTTCTATCCATAGTTTTACTTCATATTGTTTAAACATTTTAGCTGTTAGTAGTACTATACAATCATTGTAATTGTGTTAGATCACAGCTAGGATTATATATATATATACGTTTATATGCATACGTTTATTTATTCCTTTATTTTAAATTTACTCTTTACAGGAATCTACATCTCATTTAAACTTGACTTTATTATCCGTTATATTATTTATCTATTAAATCTCATGGGCCTTGTGACCTATTAATGTATAACGTAATGATATTGGTAATTAGAGAATAGTGACTTATCAATCAGACCGATAATGCATAAACCCGTACAAGCAGTCTAGAATCCTTATTGGTCCTTCTTCCTGCCTAGACCTTCCTGTTAAGTCCAGAACACCAATCTCAGCCTCCGCGATATGAATCCTGTATTTCATACATACTGGGTTTATATATCAACCAAAAAGACCACATCGTACGATAAAATAGAAAATAACATTTGTACAAGATTTAGCCATATGTGGCTGTGAATAAGGGAGATGGTGATTAATAGACTGGGGATAACTCAATAATGGTAAATCGTATAATAATAGTTCATAGGTCAAAATAAAGCTCATGATAAGAGGGACATGAATATGTATAGTTTAGTTACTTGACAATTTACACAATTAGAAAATATGTATAGTAATATTCCAGACATAGATTCCAACATTTATCATTTATTATTTTCATCAGGATATAACAATCTCTTAATCACAATGTATATCATCTGTAGAATGACTGATAGTTATTATTTGAGAGCGGATTTTAGTTAAATATTATATTACTTGATAAAATGTTATAACAAATTTGCTAAACAAATCTTGTATTCTGTGGATGCTAGTCTGGATGACACGAAATTGTGGAGCAATTCGTTTAGTCTTAAATAGTTTCTGACTTTTATCCTGATTGACGTTTGAATCCCTTGGTCAACATGATATCGATTACGACTTAAAGCTTATATCACAGACTGAAATTACTTAAGTAACCATTGAAAACCAGGAAGCACTAGACAACTGTTCCGTCCTAACATGGCCATCCTCAACAGGCTAACCCTCCCAATCTTTCGGGGATCTATTATACGTCGAGAGTGGGGAAGTCGCCCAACACTGATAACGACTCAATTTAGCTAATAGATTTAAGCAAGACATGTAAGCGATTTGATGCTGCCCTAGTGGTCTTAAGGCCACTTCTAAGGAATCCCAGAATAGGACAATTCTGTTGTCTGATGCTTCCTCGTTTCTAATGATGGTGTAACTTGAGTCGGTTCGTGTTGTAAACCATAAAATAAAAAATAAGACCACTCTTTCGCAATGATATATCGTGTTAACAGCAGTCTACCTAATTCTGCCAGACTGAGAATCTTGCAGACGACTGAAGCTATCGTTATTCGGATCAAAAAGCTAAAGCTTTACATCTTAAACGTTTTGGACTTAATTTTTGGTAGAATTACGACAGTTTTCATCTTCAACTTTTCATTTATCTTATCAAAGATTAATTTATATCATAACAAGAATTCTCATATGAAAATAATGAAACATGGATAAAATCTCCCTTTTTTATGATTATTAAGCACTATGACTTCGAGTTAATCAGTAAACATTAACATTAACAAGCTTAAAAAGCTTGTGACTCAAGGCTACATCGAGGCAATCCGCACAGGATGCACATATGTCAACACGAGACTGATCAATCGAAGTCCTAAATAACAATGAGAAGATACAAGTAAAACAACACCAGGTGAATTTAAACTTCACCCCTTTGCACAAGCAGGTGGCTATCACGACTCAGTAGCTAAGTGGATAACGCAATGGCGTTTGAAGAGAACGGTGCTGAGTTCGAGTCCTGGAGTGAACATCAAATCTGGGATGCAGGTACATCCATCGGACGAGTCCCAAACAGGACAAAACGTGCGTCCTGGATTCCACTGCTAGCTACAATCCATCTTTGCTTAAAACGTTTGTGACTTAAGGCGATGTCGAGGCAATCCACACAGGATGCACATATGCCAACATGAGACTGATCAATTGCAGTCCTAAATAACAGTAGGAAGATACAAGTAAAACAATAGCTAGCGAATTTAAAACAACTCTTTTTAACTTACTGCTAATGAATGAAATAATGAATTTGGTAATTTAATTTCGGTACTTCGTAAAATATCATGCATGATAACACTACCAAGTGAATGTGCAAGTACAGAGATTTGACCACCTTTTGAAGAAATTGTGGATTTTTTGAACAAAATAAATTAAATAATCTAGTTAATTCATAACTTAAACTTTGCATAATATCATGACGATATACAGGACTTGTATAATATAAAATATCAACAAAACTTTGATTTATATAATCACGTAATGGTCTTAATTGTGCTATAGTTACATTATCTAAAGTTTTTGAATTCAATGATAATGAACTACGCCAATTCACTGGAATAAATTCAAGTCGTTGTCCAGTTTCAGATAGTTTAGGATAAAGTTTTTCAGCTACTTTTTGACATGTTTTCCTTATTCTAGATGAAAAAAAGTAAGTAAAAGAACATATATACAAATATATAGTGAGGTACACTTGTAGTAAGTGTTTTAAACATATATGCATTTAGGTGAATACTGATGTGAACAGAGAAACAAGAGGCCTTGACAAACTACGGAAGCTATTTTTTCGGGAACGTTATTTCATTTCATTCAAAGCTTGCAAAACATTAACATTTATTTTTGTCCCTAGTCTATTCTACAAATCATAAGCTTTTCTTTAATGTATGATTCATTGTCATAGCCTATTTTGTTCCATAGCTATTGTCATTTAAACGTAATATTTTGTACTCTATTTTCTTCACTAATCTTCAGTTTTCGATATAATTGTATTTTCCTACTTGTTGTGCGTTGTAGTCTGGTTAGTGTTCTATTTATTCTGATGTCGGAAACCAGATCGGAATGGAGAATAAATGGAGTAGTGTTCTAGTTGACTTGTCTCCACTCACTTGTGTGCTTGTTAGCCAATCAGGTGATAGAATAGCTTTTGTCTCTCTACCCCAAGCAGTTGGTCTCACTTCGAACTCAGGCATACTAGCATCACGTTTAAGCCAGTCAGCCTATCGTGTCAAGGTTTTAATCTAGATTAGACAAGTTATCCTGTGCACAAAAGTGGGTAAACAGATCAAGGACGTAACAAATACATCAGTATGAATAGGTATAATTAGAAAGGTGAATAACAGGTTATATTTCATAAATACCTTTTCGTCTATAAAGGGTATGTGGAGCTTGTTGAGTATCATAGTTTACAATACACACTGATTTTATTTAGATAATCACTGAAAACCAATAAGCACTCACTATGTGAACAATAATAATGTGTCAGGTGTTAATTCACCGAGTTCTAGTAAGAAACCGTGATCAGTGAAGTTTAACCACGTCAATTTTGGTCCGCTTACTAAATAACGGGAATAGAAAGTGATTACAAAATGTGGTTAATCGATCAAAGTTGTAAATGCTGTGCACTGAATATCGGATAAAGTATCTTACAGTTAAGTGATAGTCAAAAAAATTTGAAGGTCCTGGGTTTGGTCCTCATAAGTTTTGGGAACCTGCACTGCCTAGTCTCATAGTAGAGTAAGACAGCTATCCAGTACTTCTCAGTTTTTAGCCAATTTTCAACTGGAGCAAGTCAGTGGTGCAAAGCACATAAATTACCAAACAAAGGTTAAATCGACTATGTTAAACAACTAACAATTAGACTCTATGCATCAAATTATCTAATCTAATAGCTAATAAATTTTGGCACGTGAATCGACAAAAAGTATTGGAAAAATGAAAAACGTACTTGGCACATTCATGGCGTATACTAGCTAACTGTTGACCGATACCATGGACAACAAAGCATACATGAGTAATAGGGGGAGGTCTATCACTAGTTTCCGCTGGACGATTAAATCCTCTGCTAATAGGAACACTACCTTTAAGGTAAGAGTATTCGGTTTAAAAAAATTTTAATGAAGTACTCACTTAATCCTCCGTGTAATCTAACTTTACCGAAAGGCTCTGCACTTTTAGTAACTAAATAGATAGTACCATCAGGCATCCATTTTATTTCGTAATTGTTTGATTGATATTTATGAACAGCTGAAATAAATGTTACAACAGAATTATGGGCCAATCATTGCTTACGTTTATGACTTTTGCCTGTAACTCCTTTCAATTTAGGTATAGCATACGTACGATGTTCATATTCAATCACTTCAGATAACTTTGTATCCAAAGGTAACCAATTGATCTTCTGAAACCAAACAGCACGCACCACTCTGGTTGAACACCAAGTTTTTCTTCTACTATGTACAGATCGTTTTTTGCCAAACCAGTATATAGGAATGCATTGGCAACTTTCCATGTCTACTTCGAACATCTCTCCACGAACAGTAATCTTATCGAAAACTGGATCCGTGCTGCCGTTATAACGCTCTCGATAAGCTGTTTCAAGACGTATTGAATCATATCCACAAAATGGTTTCCATGTACTTACTCCACCAGAACGACGGAAATACAACCAACGGACAGCTTCGATAGGAACTTCATCATCAAGCAAAAAAATGCTCATATTTGACTAGGGTCTTCTCATTAAGAACCTACTTTTTAGATGAAATATTGAAAAGGAATAATCATCAGTTACAGAGTATATGAAGTCACATTTGTAATATTCAGCAAACTTCATATTGAGTACAAATGAAGTATTTACCCCCGTATATTATTCGCTGGACTGATGAAATAACATAGGTGAGGTAGTCATGTATCACTATAAATGCTATCGTAAAATATAATTATTTTTCTATTGTTCATCAAATTGGCATTAAACAAAAATTTACTCATACATTTTAAAACTAGGTTTCACTGAATTCGTGACGTTTCAAATATACTGATTACTAACAAACTAATCATTCTAAGGTTAGTGTTAGAAGTCGAAATGAAATTTTTATTGTAATAGACCATGCATATTAAAAATAAGCTTTTGATTAATCGAATGCTCGAGACATTGTAAAAGGTATAAATAAAGTTTCATGACACTGTCTGATATCTCTTAGTAATGAAAACCGGGTTTTAATCTAACTTCAGTGATAATATCGCTTTAGTAATGGGTTGGTCCAGTAATTTGTGTTCGAGGACAGTGATAAATATTAGCTAGTTATTAAAAATAAAGTCATTATCGTAATTATCACTGATATCATCATCTTGAAACACCGGCTCCAGTTCTTTGGTCACGTATTAAAAATATCATTTCAGCAACTTCCATATTGTGCTTCATTTCCCAAACTGTGCACCTAAAAAAGTGTAAGTGTTATCTGTTTGAATTTAATTTCAAAATAAATTATCTCAGTGTTAAAACTAAAGTCTTGCAATGCCTTCACGTTTTCGCTCTTTAATGAAACCTTTTTGTCCTTTTAAAAGCGTATTGTTACACACAAAAGATCAGGTTGTGCTGATGCACGGCTTATAAAATAGAGGAATAGTAGGGTTTTTTATCAGAATTCAGACACTAAAGCTTCTAGCGTCAGGTATGTCAACTAGCAAACATCGGATTTTGTCAGCTGGAATATTTAAAAGGTTATGATTTTAAGAAAATGAGTTGTTTAAAGAAAATATGAAGAGTGTTTCGGTCATAAATATATTTATTTTGCTGAAAACGTGCTGAGCCGAATATAGTATTAAGCTACAGACTTTTCCCAGTTTTTTTTAAAATGTAATGATTTTAATTTATAACCTTTAAATTTATAAAACCAATGGAAGTGTTAGGTACATTCTGACTGGCGTGAAAATGGTTAGAAAATCTCATTTTGTGAACGATTTTTCTAATCGTTTAAATTTAGCTAAACCGGTGGATCGTTTATTGCTAATTACAGAACACCTTTCTGTGGTTGTATTGTTTCTTTTCGCAAATATGTAACGTTCGACTGATTATTGCTCAAAATGTACGGTGCTTTTGAACTCGTTCACCGTTTTTAACTCCCATTTTGACTGTCCATTATGTCACAACTAACACGGTCGTTGAATTTATACAGTTAGACCCATTGACCCTTATTCTATCTATGTGTATTTTGAACATCAACGCAAAATAAATAAACTTAGAATTATATTTCTGGAATAATTGTATCTTTGCGGTATAAGTTAATTCAAAGACCTTCATATTATTATTTACTGTAACGATCTTTTATTTACCCAAATTTTAACTTTTAATACAGTTAATGTATTTACTTATCTATATTGCTCCTTTGATTCGGTTCGGTCTATTACAGTGGTTAATATTGAGATGCACAATGAAATCAAATACGCGGAATTCCACAGTTTTAGTCTCTTTAAAGAACTTGGTTTACATTCGTCAAAACGATGCTCACTGTTTTCGAAATTGAAAAAATTGAAAAATTATCTACGGTGAACCTTGAAAATTAAAACATGCATCAGATTTTGTGGTAGCAAAATAACAAATACGCATATTTCGAAATTCTAAAGCTCAATCGCAACAATGTTGTGCACTGAAAAACTAGAAATACTACCTTTGGTATTACAGCAATAACAAGCTACGTTCCGCAAATCTTTACTGCTGTATGAATGATAGGATATATATCATAAAACGGTACTACTTAGTCTTATGAAAATATCTTTGGATCCACTAATAAAACACTAAGACACATATGTATGAAGTATTGGTAACCATTTACAAGAACTTTCTAAAGACCGCAGAATCAGTAACCAGCTGTAATTTTAGCTGAAGCGTTTGTAGTGGGATTGGGCCTTAATCACACAGTTTTTAAAGCTGAACAGGAGACATTTGGGAACATAGATGTTCAACATTTAACGCGGAAAAAAAAGCAACGATGGAGAAGGCGGGAACAAGGAATTGAATTGATTAGAGTTGGTCGGGTAGCATGGCCTGGTCTTTCAGGCGTGGTCCTTGTTGAATGTTATCTTAAATCTTTTACTCATATTAAATATCATGTTCTATCTCCAGACTGAATGTGTTTTCCATCATATATTGGTAACTATTACGATACGATAAGTCAGTGTAGACAATGGTGTGACTTCCACGTAATATTTTATAGATTAGGCAGTTACATCATGAAAAACCTGCAGTTTTAGGATTAATTCTATAATTGGAGCAATACTAATGTCATAGTAGACCATAATTCTACATGTTTCTTCTTACGTGTATCAAGTGGAACAAACAAGCTACGTTCTCACAAAAATATACAAAGCTGTAATGTTTTTGAATAACCAACCTTCCATAGTAAACCGTTAAAATTCAGTCTTTAAAGTGACTATCTTCTCAAAGTTTTCTAAAGAACCTACGGTCTTCTATAGCAGTTAACGATGTTTAGCAATGTAGGGTACATGATCCTGTGAAAAACACTCAGCTAGTTTACGTACTTTTTATTTTTTGAGAATAGTTCTGAGGACGAACTAGAGATGTCACTTTAAAATACCAATTGTCAGAACATGGGCGGATTTAATTTTGATACTATAGTATTGGGTATACCCAATCTATCGATTTCGGGGTTATCTCAAAAAGATCAGTGACGATTGACAGTTTTCCAAACCTCTGAGGGATTTTGTACCCTGTTCCCAAAATCTCAGAACGGACAAAATTTTCCTAAAAACAGAGAGATTGGGCAGGCTTGTCACATGTTTATCTATAGAAAATGATTTTCAGACAAAACGTAGTGTGCTTTAACGATCTCGTGAGGCACTTCGTAAAAACCTAGGATTTATTCGTTAGTCTTATCTGTATGGTTAAAAAGGCAGTATGACTACTTATTACTCGCGAGTATGCAACCCGTAAGTTGTTCCTAATGTAATCGTTCCAGTATCTTAAATAAAGTTAGAATCTTCAAATCCACTACCCTTTACTTGCAAAGTTAACATTCAAATGTTTACAGACCAGAAATGTACCTTTATTTACAAGAACATCATGGCCACCAGGAAAGTATTGAGAACGGAAACAACAAGCTCTAATACGATTTTGTGCCTCTTCACAAGGTCAAGATAGTATATTACAACAAATGTTAAACATTAAAATTAGGAAATTCAATATCACCAACTTCTAGTCCCATAAGATTTATGTTTGAACTGAACAGAATTTTTTCATAAATGGGAAATACAGCTTTTTTGTATCGACAGTATATGAATTTGATAGAACAAGTATTCCCTAACAGCAGTTACTAGACAAGAGTGCAACAAATACAGTGAAGTTATTATTTTCACGACGATAGATATCCTTCTTAAAGTGAGATATGTGAAGATGCTGTCAATAAGACAAATACTCTTAGCGAATTTTCATAAAGATCTATAACGACACCTCGTCCAATATTACCCTCTGTAGTCTTTAAAAAAATGGCGCCAGTATATTAGCATTTTCTCTGGATCACGAAAACCTGTACCTAGAAAAACATGATAACAGGGACTCTCCCCAAATCTGAAATGAATATCTTGGGACTATACAGGTCGCTCAAGCATCTTATGGATACCGAAACTGTCTAACAATTCTTGAGAACATCGTTACAAACCCTGTCACACAAACAATTGACGCTGAGAATAATCACAACACCTGTGAAGTACACCCTTGTCACTTCAGAAAGCTCTTCAGCTTAACCTATAGCTAACTATGAACGGTATATCATGGCCTTATTGGTAACTGATAATAATCACCCATTACTATCTTGATGACAGTTCACAACTTTACCAACACTTCCATAGCGGTCAATATCCCTCTTGTGAAACTGGGCCATATTCAGTAGAAACAAGCCTTAAACGTATCCAAAAGGGATTGGAGGTATGTGTCAAGTAGCCTCTTTCTTAAGCATGAAGATAAAGTGCCTAGAAAGTCATACATAAACTAATGGATAATGCCTCATAAGTCAACAGTTTAAAGTAGAAAGCAGGCACTCATAGCAAGAGCTGCGGGCTTAATCACAAGCTAATCATTTTAATGCATTAGTTTCTCAGATGGTCTTGATCATACAGAGTAAACATACTATGTACACAGAGGCACAATGGCTTGTGAGACCTTACTTGTTAGCAACATCAGTAATGGTTAAGTTTAAATAAGAGACCTAAAGCTGTTGCACGAGGGTGGGCCAAAAACTTTACTTCTTTGGATCTCGAGAGTTCTCTTTTTCCATGACGAGCTTTTAAGATACGTTGTATTATAGTACTGGGGGTTACCATGATTTCTGAACAGTTGAAGTCGTAAATGACATCTTTTGTACCCATATGATGTTTGTGAATAACAATAAGCTTTGACTTTTCTGAAACGTCCTTTCTTGACGCCCGATAGGGATGTTTCACGTGTAAACGTATCGTAGACTTTGTTAATACCTCCTCTTCCCATTGAACTTATCTAAGCATTCTAATAAGTTTAACAACTTGGCGAAGTTATCAGACTGCATTAAAGTTTATCCTAATCTACATCTTAATCATTCGAGTTGCCTATGATTCACACCTGGCCATAGAGCAGACTAAAAGTGTTAATCGGCCCCTCTTATAGTTCAATATTTTTACCACTAGAGCTCTGTCTGAACAGGTTTCATCCAAAACCACCGTGAAACTGAC